TTAATTGAAAAAACTGAGATTTTTTTGTTTTCAGCGTTAAAAGCAATGATAAATCTTTTTATGTCACTCTTTAAATCCTTACAAATATTTCAAATGCGAAAGTGTCTATTTGTTCATTTTTGAACAATGGGCTTGACCTGATATTTTGCATACAAATAGTTTAGGGCTCGGAAGATATTATAAGATACTTTTTAAGCCAGTAGGTCAAGCTATTTCTACGAGTATAAAATATTAAGTATATAACAAATATGATTATCAAATCACTTGTCATATTATAAACAAGAAAAAGTTATTATTATAAAAATATTATCTATGTTAATATTATAAAGAGGCAGAGTCTGTTTGTTTGTTTGAACGCCCTAATCTCAGGAACTACTAATCTAATTTGAAAAATTATTTTTGCATTAGATAGATCTTTTATTGAGGAAGGCTATAGGTTATACATCATCATGCTACAGCCCAAGGAAGCGGAGCAGTAATCATAAATATTAACAAATCGGGCAGAGTTCCATATATTTTTAGATTGAACGCGGACGAAGCCGCGGGTTGTGCTAGTTTGTAATAAAAATAATAAGGATTAAAATATATATCTGTCGCTTTATAATATTAATATAGAGTACAAAAATTAATAATAAAATATAATCAAATTATACCTTAGACATCTATTGGTGGAAAAATAATTAAAGAGAATTTAAGGAAAATTATTTAGAAATATCAATTTAGAAATTATATACCTATTACCTTCCTACCTACGAATAAATAATAATTATTTATTCGTAGCTTCCTACGCATATTAAATTGTCCCACAGTGATATTAATAAACGAAACGTAAGAAGAAAATTCAGTCTAGTTATATACGAAGTTATAGAAATCAATATCGAATTTGTATAACAAATGTGAATGTTTGTGTGTTTGTTACTTCTTCACGTATTTAGATAAAATAAAGATAAGTCGCTGGTCGTCTGTAAGAGTCAAATCAAAACCAATATCTCAAACAAAATAATGATAATATGCTCATATATGTATTCATAAGTGTATATATATATCTTCCGCTCATTTTAGAAACCAGAGTAACTAGCGGCAAGTTAATATGTTATAATTGATTCATGTAGATTTTTCACTTAAGAAGGTATGGTATTTTATATATTCTATTATATTTTTATATTAATACTTCATATTTTATAGATAACGAACCACTCACTCTCGTTCCGCTCGGATTCGTCCCTAGTTACGTTTTAACGCTTAGTATAGATATCTCAGAGATGAGATATTTTCTCGCACTAAAAAGTATCCTATATACTAACCCGGATAACCAGCTATCATCATAACAAATTTAACAAAAAAAATCGATTGGTTTTCTCGTGATACGTTCATACAGACAGACAGACAAAAATTCTATAAATTATAAATTCGGCATGTGTATAATAATGACAATTTCAATAAGATTTTCCAAAAAAAATATGTAATGTACAGATTTTACTCAGAATTTTATTTAATGTATAGATAAAAGTTCTTACTTACTTCTTAAAAAGAAATATTTTTACTTAATCTTTCATTTTGATAAGTTAAATCAACAAAATTAACAATTACTTTTAAGGATTTGTTCGAAACATTTAAAAACAATCTGTTTCCAGGCTGCTCTGTCTAATGTAATTTATATTTGCCTCTAGGTTTGCTCAGGTTTTTTCCATTGGCCGTGTAATAAATCTCCGGTGTCCGTTCTAAAAGTATTTCTTGTTTCAGTTATAACCACTGTTCTTTAACTAAATATTTTAAACAGTAAAACGTTTTAGAATTCTAAAATTTATGCTATTTTGAATATAGGTTATACGGACCGCGTTTCGTGCGTGGGTATTTTCTAAAACGTCGTATATCTTTCTTATTTATGTTTACAGCTTATACCAGCCACAGCCGTTTCTGTATAGTTTGAATCCGTTTATCGGATTTCGAACACGTTTCAGTTGAAACCCATATCGATGTACTTGATATATACGCGCTTGCCCTTACTAAATTATATGGGAAAAAATTACTATCATATATTAGGAGAAATAAATTGGATTTCAAACAAATTTTCACATATTGTTTTATAGAAAATGGTACTAATGAATAATATACTTTCTTTCTTAAAGCATACCACTATAATACTACTTGTACAAAAATCTTTGTTTCCTTAAAGAATCTTAATAAGACTTATCTGACTGATTTGAATCTGTACATTAAATATTTTTTGGAAAATCTTATTGAAATAGTCATTATTATCGATACAGAGACCGAATATATAGTTTTTAGAATTTTTGGCTATCTGTGGGTAACATATAAGATACTTTTTACTGCGGGAAAATATCTAATTTCTAAAAATCTACATATACTAATCGTTAAAACGTACCCGAAAGTTGCTAGTGATATAATATAAGTTAACAATTAATAAATGATCAGATATATATTATGTATACATATATGTATATTTATGGTAACTATATAGAATCACAAGGTAATTGTTTCAAACTAAATGCTTCTACGCTACAATGCAGGTGCAAGCTAGTGTCACATAAATGAGTTACCTACTGCAAAACAGGACGAATCATTGTACTGACCAAACAATTATTTGCTTCGGTCTTGTTAAAACAAAGCGTTCCTACCTCTACGCAGCACGTAATCTCAACAATTGGGTACTATTTATGCACTTTTTGTAGGAAAAATAAAAAAAATAGTGCTCTAAGACCGATAATTTATTCGTATCCGTCTGTTTGTCCTATATCACAGAGATTTTACTACTGGCTATATGAATAGATAAACCTAGTATTATGATCTGTGGATAAACCTTCATGAATCTTGCGATGCACATATCTAGAAACTTAAGAACACGGAATAAGTATTAGAAAAATGTTTGTATGTTTGTATTACTTACATATAAAATCTTGTTACTTGGTATTTCGTCATAAAAGATTATGAGTAAAAATTATTTCAATGAAAAGTAGTTGAGAAGAATGTCCAAAAGCAAACGTGAGTGAAACAAAGCCGACTCTACTTTTTAGTAATATTTTAAATTCATTCAAAATATACTCATATTTGTAGCGTAATTCTTTAAGCCAGCTATAGTTTACCAATAATAATGTATGTAGCATGTATGGTATGAATATAAATAATATTGCTTAAATTCATACTTCCTTTGAATAGCTTGTAGACCGGCAACCAAATAACCAAGATGCAAACTCACTGCAACATTTACCACAACTTTACATTCAACAACGAAAACAGGAAGGAACTTGATTTATGTGCTTTCGTAATAAGCTTTTAATAAATAAATTAATGTTTCATATAGTGTGCTGCTTTTAATTTTTGAAAATATTAACTATTTACGAATTTAATTTCATTGTTGCTTTATACGTATTCGTTAAAAGTTCTCTTTTTTGTTGCTTGCTGATCTATCTTTCCGGTTAATTTTTAAGGATCCGTACCCGAAGGTGCCAACGGAACTCTATTACTAACCCTCCACTGTCCGTCCGTACGTCTGTCACAGGCCTGTACCTCATGAACTGTAATAGGTAGAGAGTTGAATTTTTTTTACAGAGCATATATTTCTATTGCCGCTATAACAACAAATAATAAAAATTAATAAAAATAAAAATAGAAACATTTGTTAACGTTCGTAATCGATCATCGAAGTTAATATACTACATAATGTACATAGGGTAAAAATCATATTAATAAAAAAGACATGTGCGATGCAATTCGACTAGCACCAGACCAATTTTTATTATACAATTTCTAAATAATAACTACGAGTAGCATTACATTGAGCTCTTTGGCGTACCTACTATATAAAATATGACTACAGTTCAATAACATGCACCATAGATGGTCTGATTGATGATAAAACCGAAAAGTATAACTAAATTATATATATATGTATATATATATATATATATATATATATATATATATATATAATATATATATATATATATATATATATATATATAATTTAGCATAAAACATTGTTATTATTTATATAAAAATAAAATAAACAAATATGTTGGGACATTGAAACACAGCACCATCTAGTTCCATGGTAAGCTACGACCTACAAAGCTTGTTTTACGGATACCAGATAGCTGATACACTAAACATATATCTATAGCTTTAAATACATACATATTATAAATATAAACACCCATGACTAGAGTACAAACTTTCCTGCTCATCACACAAATGAATGCCTCCAGCGAAACTCGAACCCGCGGCCGCTGGCACAGCAAGTAGGGTCACTACAAACTGAGCCAAACATGTCGTCGAAATGTCGTCAAAAATATAAATGAAAGCATATTTTTTGGAACTCATTACATTTATTTAAACTTATTTTTATAAAAATACATTGTAAAGGGATGCCTGAGGATGAAATGTGATGTCACGCTGCTTTTACTCCACATAGATCGTAAATATTGCTCTTGTCCAGAGACGACACTGTGCAAGTTGACTACTATGTTGGCATTTTAATCGTGATGAGATGTCGTTTCATTGTTAGATGTAACTTTTTTCATAACTTTATCATTTTATTATAAAAAAAACTAAATATTTATTGTTCGTATGAAAGCTATATACTCTGGAATTACTGAATATATTTTGATAATACTTTTCCTCTAAAATGTCAATGTATATAATTATACATAAGCATCTTATGTATAATCTCCATAGTAATAGAGAGCAGAAATAGCACAGAGACCTGAATATATACAAAACAAGCGTCTATTATTGAATTAAAAATGACGTCCTTGATACAAAAAGGGAGCATGGCTTTAATGTTTATTAAAATACAGGTGTGGCAATTCTTGCCAACGATATCTTTCCACCTTATCTCAGTAAATATAGATAACCTAGCTATGTGTTTCGTTTTATCTTTCTGATAGCTACAGTAACGACCCAATCGTCAGTGAACGGACAGCCTTAAATAAGTTTTACGAGACAAAATTGTTTGTTGTGAAGTGAAATATTAAAGTGCTATGGCAGGGGCTGGCAGAGGAGACGGACAAGGACCGGCGGTCGGAAAACTCGAGTCCCAGATTTATTGTATCAAGTACACTTTATTTTGCTTCAACGTTGTACTGTGGGTGGGTATTGGGAATTGGAACTAGCGGTTCCGTCCAGTTTCATTTCTCTTGGCTTGTTTACTTTGAATTAGATGTACGTATTTACGGTCCGACGCTCGCTTCCAAACTTTAAGAGCGCGGACTTCAAAATTGGAAATTGTTTGTTCGTATTGAGATACGCAGAAGACCATGACTCATGGTTTATACAGTCATTCTAAAACAACGGTAGTGTCGTATATCCACTTCCGTAGAGTGAATAATGCATTTTATCTACAAATACTTGTTGAAATAGTGATATTAGTTTTTGAATTCGAATTTAGCTTTTTGTTCATAATTTAAATTATAACCTAAAAACGTTTTAGTAGTATTTAAATTGATTATTTTTATATTTCATTTTTATACGTCCCTTTCAAGCACAATTTACTTCAACAATATCGTGTAGAATATAAAATGGACAACTGAGATTTGTTAGTAAAAGTTTAATTTCAGAAATATGTATCATTAAATATTAAGCTAGAGTTTCATTTACTTTTCCTAATAACAGAGTAAAAATGAAGCTTACAATTGCTATACTATAAAATAAAATATAAATAATTTAATCAACCTAGCAATTCTAATTTGTTAGGCTTAGAAACTTAATAACATGTGTGCTTTAATAATTAATTAGTATAATTAAGTGTAAGCTTAGTACATTAGCTTTCTACGTTTGCAAATAGCTTTATTTATATTTATATATAAGCCTCTCATGCGAACATTGTAACTTAAATAAATACTTATAAAAATTAAAGACACTGTCATAATCTACATATAAGTAATTTCTAAAGCAATTGAAGCCAAGATTCACAATATTATATTTTTCCATGACAATGACTAAAAATAATAAGAAAAGCTAATATTTTTATAGGTTTTTCTTAGTTCAATTCGTGTAAAAACGTTTGTGAATATTAGTTTAATCGTTGAACATAACCTAAAACTAAAATAAAGGGTCGGATAAAATTTTCGTTATCAGCGCGATAAGACACTTGTCCTGTTTTCCGAGTAGCTATTATGAATCATATAACGATGTTTAATTTACTTTATATTAATAATACTATTGATTATTGTTTTTCACATTTTTTGTTATATAATGAAAATGTTTTAGTATTGAATCTTTGCAATGTATTTATTTCATATTTCTTAATATAAACTAATATTTTTATATATCTCAAAAACGGCTGGAATAATTTTTTTTGTTTTGTTGGGAGCGTGTCAGGGGTAGTTTAAGTATAAAAAAATAGGGAAAACCCATAAGAACTGCTGGAAAATCAAAAAGTTCAAAACTGTTTATTTTGTACATATACTTTCAATGGATGGCGTTAGTGGCGGACATATCATCTACATTCTACAACAATGAGTTAAGTTTAACTTGTAAAAAATTATATATATATATATACAATATATAGTCTAACTATTCCATACTGACTGTTAAAACATATCCGGATATGAACACGAGCAGAGCGAGGGTGCGTCGCTAGTTTATACTAATATTATAAAGAGGTAAATTTATGAGTTTGTGACGTTGTATGGGGTAGTCTCTGGATCTACTGAACCGATTTAGATGAAATTTGGTAAGAAGATAGTTTGAGACCCTGAGAAGGACATAGGATTTTTATCCCGGAAATCATCCCTTAAGGGGGTGAAAACAGGGAATAAAAATTTGTATTGGGGATCGAGCTATCGATGAAGTCTCGAGTCGCTAGTAGTATATAAATAAATATTAAATTCCATGAAACAAAACAAGTGTTAAGTAACTAAAATTCTTAATGAAATCATGAACTAAAAGTTACTTTAGAACTAAAATTAATCTTAAAGAAAGTTGAATAAAAAGGCAGATGCTCTACATAATTTTAGATGGACAGACGAATTATGGCCTTGGGTCGGTAATTTTGTAAAGAGGGGTAGCCTTAGGCTTCGTATATACAGCTAGAAAGATCTTACACTAATTTTTCAAATATATTATGAAAATTTCTTCGTAACATTTGTTTTATTATTTTCTAAGTCAGTTTTCCTTAGAAAAAAAGTAAAATGAGGATGAAAATAATGAACTAAATGAATAACTATTTCTTTAAAGTAGGAAATTTTTAGAAATACATATTTCTAAATTACATACATAATAACAACTAAATCATAGAAACCGTTGACTTTCAATACTTTTTACGTTAACATTTTTATCAGATCTTCATTTTATAATGAGAACTCAATTTACCTTTTTGCATAAATGCAAATAAAATGCAAACTTAAATACAATTTACAAGCGAGCTTAAAACGTTTACGATTCAACTTAATAATAGTATTAAAACGTTGGCGTATTTAAAATTACATATTAAACATAAAACAAACAAAAATATCTTTCTTTTTAAAAACAAATTAATATATACAGTTTTATTCAGCAAAATTAAATATATTACATTGTTTATTATCTTTTACATGGCAACGCATTTTTCCAAATAAATTTTACATAGGAATACTTTATGATCAGGAGAGTGGCTCCATTTTATACGGACACATCGAGGTATTTCAACTTTCTTGGAATTTAAATTAACTAAGGGACACTAGGGGTATCTATATTGGACTACTATTATATTTGCAGTATATAAAATTTATATGTGATTGTGTGTGTGTTTGTGTTGATTACTTTTTTGCGCTAATATGGGTGTACGGATTTGGATAAAATATAGGACATAGATTACGACATGGAGTATATACAAGCTTAGCTTTGACGACACTTTTGGCTCAGTTTGTAGTGACCCTATTTGCTGTGCCAGTTCGCGGGTTCGAATCCCGCTCGGCGCAATCATTTGTGTGATAAGCACGAATGCTTGAACTCCGGTCATGGGTTTTTATATTTATAATATATATGTATTTAAAGTTATAAACGTGTAATGTATCAATCATCTGGTCTCCATAACACAAGCCTCGTAGCATACCGTGGAACTAGATGGTGCTGTGTGTAATATAAAGATTGTGTCATATAAAGATTTTTTTTATATTCGAATACCACTTCAAAAGTAAATAACAAGAATTATTTGTATTATAAATTAACTCAAATACAGTGAAACGTGTTTCTTTGTGAAGTCGTCCTAACCGTTATCTAAAGCAAACATTAGCGGCACGCGGCGTCAGCAGTAAATCGTCTTACACAAGTTGCCCGATACAGCGGTTATTAAGCATGGTTAATTAGGAAAATTAAACGTAGGCCATTAACTAATTATATCTAACATAATAGTTAGTGTTAAGTCGATCTTGAGTTGGTGTTAAAATTGCATTTCATTAAAATTATTACATAATCTGTTATATTTATTTATTTAGCATTAACAAACAAAAATCTATACATTAAATAAAATTCTGAGTATCTGTACATTTTTTGAAAAATCTTATTGAAATAATCATTATTATCGATACAGAGGCCAAATCTATAGTTTTTAGAATTTTTGTGTCTGTCTGTCTGTCTGTCTGTGACCGCATCACGAGAAAACCACTGGAGAGATTTTGATGAAATTTAGTATAATGATAGCTGGTTATTCCGGGTCAACATATAGGATACTTCTTACTGCGGGAAAATTTCTCATCTCTGAGTAATCTATACTAAACGTTAAAACGTACCTAACTAGGGACGAAATAGTGAGTCGCTAGTTATTATATGAATCTATCTATACAAATATATTAAATTGAAGTGTCTGTTTGTTGTAACATCAAAATAAGTGCTTTGTACTAAAACGTTCACTGACGATACTTATAAAAAAAAAACTTTTTTAAATTTTTGTCTGTCTGTTCCCGCTAATCTCCTTGATCAATTCAGATAGGACTTTCACTGGCAGATAGCTGATGTTAAGGCTAAGAAGTAACTTAGGCTACATTTATTTTAGGAAAAGTTATATGTTACAGGTACCTTCTACTATACAAAAGCTTAGAGCTTATACAAACAATGTTTGCTACCTGTACTAGTATTTATAATCAAAGATATTGCATTTCATATATATTTTCTTAGATTTTATTATTTACATAGAAATAATACGGCTATGCCAAATAAAAAAAATGCCAAAACTGCTCTTTCAAAATTCAAAACGAAAGTATCGATATTCATTCAACCTATTCGTTATTCGAATTACACCTGATCCACGGTCCCACGGCTCGATCTCTATTAATCATTGGGGCATTAATTACAAGCATATGAATTTGATTTCATATCATGTGCTCGAACATACCAACTACCATTTCACGCGAATACAAGTCTGCAAAGCGAATGGTAATCGTAATAGCACCATAAATTGGAGTGTCGAGCGAACTGAAGCCAAAAACGCTGAACGTCAAGTGTCGTTCAAACCTGTGCACTCGTTAAGGTGTTCCTGTACAAATGAGAAATAATTGCTTGAGTTACCCCGCGAGGTCACTCACAATAATTGACTTTTGGTACACTGCCAAGATGAATCCGTGCTCTTATTTAAAATGTCAACTCTCATATGCCTCCAATTTTGTTGCAGGCCTCGACGATTATATTCGCTATATTTTTTTAGTGACGCAAGTTTTTCTCTTGATTTAAATAGAGGAAACATAAATAAATATAAAATTTCATGAGAAATTAAAATTAATTTTTTGGCATATGGTTTTTGACATATTGGAGCAATGGTAATCAGACGGTACATACACACATATTTCAATAAGAAATTTCCTTAATTTTGGTATTGGATACTATTGAATTTTATTTATTTTATATTATTGGAAAAATATTTTGAATAAAATTACTAAACATTCAATAACTAACCTTTTTGTAAGAGGATTGGTATTAGACCAATCAGGTTGGTCCTAATATACTCAATTAATCTAACGACCTAGGAAAATTCATTATTATACAAAATACATACTATATGTATCTACCTCCAATAATTAGCAAGAAGATATGTTTATATCAATACTATTTTATATGATACTAGCGGACCCGACAGACGTTGTCCTGTCTACACGTCTTTAATTTGAAAATTTCA